GCTATCTGGCGCTCACAGCGGGGGCGGCCTGGTCGGGCTCTTCGGAGGGCACTCCGAGCGTTTCTGGGCGGTGGGCGGTCCCCCTTGCCGCTTGGGTCGCCCAAGCTGGCCGTCCCATCACCCAAGTGCACGTCGTCGTCCACAGCTCCTCACGCTCGCCCTCGGGGGCATTCCAGCCGCCTGCGCCATGTCGTGCGCAGCGCCTACCAGTGGGCCATCCTGCCACGATTCGCCGCTACTGGGCTGACACGCTTCCTCCTCCAGTCCCGCGCCGACATTCTCCGCTGGCGCAAGGTCGCCGCCGCCCGGGAGCCTCGATGGGACATGCACCCTGGAGGGATACCCATTACCGCCCCACAGTCCAGGTTAAGATACTCTATTTCCCCAGCATGTGCAAAGGCAATCCCGAGTGTTGCCTGTTCTGCTCCGACCACGAGGAAATATGGTTCTTGATGTCCATCACCCAGGTCATCACCAGGTTTCGGGCGCCTTTAACTTCAAACCTTTGTTGCATTCAGCCCCTGGGCATCGCAACAGCATCCTTGCTCGATACGAGGCTGTCGTAGCGGGCAACGAGCGCCTACGCGAGGGCCTACGTGCACTGGCTGCTCGTTCGGGGCAGGGCCTACGGAGTCCGCGCTCTGTCTGCCGTGGAACGGCACACTCCACCGCGCAATGCCCTTCTTTCTTTCGCCTTCCATGGGGAGCGCACACACACAGACACAATTAATCGCCGACTCCCATGCAAAAAAGGGAAAATATGGGAAGTGGGCAGAAGACGAAGACCCAGAAGATATGGGAAGAATGTGGGGGATCCTGGGATTTGTGTTTATTGATGTGTGTATCCCCAGGGTCCTTCAGTCCAGACTTCCTCCGCCGCGAGCTGCCCGTGGCAAGGTGCCCGGAGCCTCTCGCCCTCACCCTGAAAGACTGGCTCTTCACCGCGGGGTTATCTTCTGATGCCTCCGCGGGCTTCCCAGAGATCCAGCGTATTGCAAAAATCACGACAGAGGTCTTTCGCCTTTCGTTCTCGCCGGGCCTCAGGACCGTCCACAAGAACGACTCAGGACGAAAAGTCGGTCCTCGGGAATGGGTCGAGACTTCTGGGGGCCTCGTGTTGAAAAAATCACGACATCGGATTTGTGGGTTTCGGATTCCCAACGTCAGGAATGACCGTTCTGTCGCGAGCTTTGGCAGGCGCTTGCTCGCCCCCACTGCCCGAGCTCCCCCCTGCAGACCAGGCCGTTTCGAGAATCAGGGGAATTGGGGAATACACCCCTGGGGGGCTGCTCGGAAGCACTGCGTATCGAGGATGAGGCGCGCCCCCCCATCGCACATATCCCCGGGTTTTGCCCCAGTTCGTTTATCGTCTGGTCGAGGAGTCACGCAGCGTCGGGGCCTGGGGTCGCCATGGCCCCCGTTCATTTTTGCCGTGGCGCTCGAGGTACCCAGACATCCCGACGTCGTGAGACTCTCCGGAGCTCTGGACCCCTTTCCAGGGACCGGCCCTGCTCGGGGGCTGAAAACAGGGGGGTGATGACTAGGGCGGGGTGGATATCATGGCGGGGGCCATGATATTTCCCCAGATGTTATGGCGCCTCTTCTTATTTCATTACGTCCCTGGCCCCCCCGCTGGGCCGCGCACATGCCGCCGGCCATGATTTGCACCCCCCCCTCTTGGACACCCCCCTCTTGGCCGCTCCCGACCTGCATCCCGACTCGTTTTTTGATCCTCCCGCGGCCCAGTGAGGGCCCCCCCGAGGCCGAAACTTGCGAGACTCCCCCCGCCGCGACTTGTTCGCAGCGCGGAGATGCCAGGGCGTCGGGCCGTGCCTCGGGCCTCCGTCGGCCGATCGGGGCGACCTGGGCCCCCCCGGGAAGGCTCTCGACGAGGCGCAGGCGCTGCAAGGCACCCAGCGGCGCGAGCAAGGCACTCGGAGCCGCAGGGACCTTCACCACCCACCAAACCACCCCAACCCAACCCGAAGGCTAAGATTTGCCCTCCATTTCCAGTGGGGGGGGGTCGCGGAACATCGAAAAAACACGTATGGAACCCTTACCCCCCCCAACCCGAAATTCGGGTCTTCGGGTTGGGTTGGGGTGGTCTGGTAGGTAGTCAGACCTCCAGGAGGCGACGAGAACGCCCGCAGGCACTGAGAACCGAACAGGAGTAGGAGGAGGCGGCCAAAAGAGGCTCCGACCCTGTTCCCAGGGGCAGTCTACCGCCCCGGACCCATTTTTTGGATGATCACCGGCCCCGGGGGCAAAAATCGACGG